CCTCAGCCTCCCAAAGGCGCGGGATTACAGGCTGAGCCACCGAGCCCGGCTACATTCATGGTTTTAAGTATGATTTTGTAAAACTTTTTTTTTAGTTATATAGGTATTTCTTACTGTGGGTCATGGTCTCAAAAGCTTGAAAAACATTTAATTAGACCATGGGGTAACTTTCACAGCTTCTAGTTTTAACTGAAGTGGCTCCAGCCTGCTGGACCTCATCTAACAGTAATCAAGTGGACGGTGCATTCTGGGAAGGATTGCCACACTTGGCCGGGCTGAGCCCTGGGAACCCTCCTCGATTGGTCCTGTGGGCCTGTAGCCTTTGAAGTATGGATTCTTTCTGAACAGGGACAGAGGAGGTGTATGTGTGCGTGTGTGTGTGTGAGTGAAGAGAGAGAGAGAGAGAGAGACAAGCAGCACAAGAGTGATATGTATGCCGCTGTGTGCAGTAGAGGGCTAGACTCTACCTGCTGGGGCAAGTGGGATGGGGAGCGTTTTTATAGTGTGTGCCCCGAGAGCACCCTGTAAGTGTATTTACAGGTGTGTGTGTTATGAGCATGAGCTGATGTGAGTGTCCACGTTGACCTTCGATCTGATGAGAAACCTGGGTGGGATGAACAAGGAAGTTCAGAAATGGGGTGATGGCACCATGGATGGAAAGAGCTCTGGAATTGGACCCCACAGACCTGGACTAGAAGCCCAACTCTGCCGCTTCCTAACTGTGTGTGTGTGTGTGATCTTAGTCACGTCCTTCTCTGTGCATCAGTTATCTTCTCCCTAAAATGCAGATAGTTATCTCTTCTCTAAAATCAGTTTCCTCCTCCCTAAAATCCCTCTTCCCTCCCTGTGATGTTGTGGGCACAGGGTAAAATCACAGAGAAAGGTCGGTTGGGTGGCAGGTGACAAGTCATCAGCATTAGTGGCAGCTCAACAGGGCATAAAACTCAGGACCAGACCCCTGGCAGAGGCCTGCATACTAACCTCTACACCCCTGCCTGCATCCCCCCACCCCCACAGGTGCACAATGACCCACAGTGCGGCTCCTTCCCCTACACCTGCTCCAGGGCCATCAGCCTCTTCTTTGCAGGAGAGCAGGAGATTCATCTGGCCAAGGAGGTCACCCATGGAGGCCACAGGTAAGTGATGCCTTTCATTCAGAGCTGCCCTACCTTGGATGCTGGTGAAAGTGAGTGGGTGGGCACCCGTTCTTGAGTCTATAGGACAGTGTTTTCTAGGGCAAACAGCATCATGAGGGCAAACTGTCATCATGAGGGCAGAGCATACTGGGAGGTCACTAGGTTTCTTGTCAGTGGGGTTTGTAGGAGGATGACTTTTCTGGAACTCTCAGACCCTGTGGGTTTTCAGGAAAATAGTCTTCCAGAGAGTTATGTTTACCAATATGAGCATGCTTAATATTTTCCCCCCACAGTTTCTGCCTTCTCAGAGCAGATGCTGAACACACGTTCACCCATTTTGATGGCATAGACTCATTGTGAATGTCTGTGATCTTGCGGGCCATCAGGGATGCCTGGGACCACCCAGGAGTGAGGCCTCTGCTCCCATCTTCAATGACCCAGACTATGACCTTTCTGAACCCTTTCTTGCATCTCTTCCTCACTGTCCTCTCCTTCCCTTGCTGGCCGCTGTCACTTCTCGTTACTACTGTGGGTCTTCCTGTAATGTCGCTTCCCCCTCCTCACCTCCTGCTTCAGGTCTGGAAACTGGATAGTCAAACTTTCTGGGGCTCAGTTTAGATGGATGGTCCAAAGGGTTTTCCTTGTGAACAAGTGTTTGGTAGATGGATCTGTTGGCAGTTTCGTCACAGTTTTTGCTTCTCTTTCCTGACTTTTTAGCTGGGTTGAAAGTTGCCAAATTCCAGATTGGCTAGGAGTCTGTGCCCCAATACAATGGATGGTGGCCAGGTTGCTGGAGGCCTGTGTCTTCTCTTGCACCCCCAGTTCTCCTCCTCTGGGCTTCTCTTCCCACTGTCCTTGCTCTCCACTAATCAGTCATTCAGTCAACAAAACAGATGTCTGTTTATACCTTCTCTCCTGTCTAGGAGAAAGGAGCTGGCAAATTCAGTCACACTAAGATTGATTTATCCCTGCCAAGGAAGTTGCAATTGAACAAAAGCCTCTAAAGACAAAAGAATTCACCTCCAATATGTACTTCCAGGCCCCTGGGAATCTGGGGGTGGGGGGAATGTAGGGGCCAGGATGGTCCCAGGATGGGGGATGACTGGTCTTTTGGCGAAGGCCCTGGGCTGTTGGAGGCTGTGTGGACACCCTGATGCTCTGGGCTGGGTCCACAGGGTCCAGCTGCCACATGTGATGGGGAGCGTGCGTCTGCAGCGCCTCGCCGGCTACATCATCGTGCGCCATCAGTCAGCCTTCACACTGGCCTGGGATGGCGCCTCGGCTGTCTACATCAAGATGAGTCCAGAGTTCCTGGGCTGGACCCACGGGCTGTGTGGGAACAATAATGCTGACCCCCAGGATGACCTGGTGACCAGCTACGGTGAGGTGCAGGGCAGGTGGCCTCTGAGAGGTTTGGTGGGGGTGGGGACAGATCATGGCTGGGACTTGGGGTAGAATTCTGGGGTCATGGTCATGGTATTAAAGACCCAGTGGCCAGTTAGGGGCCCCTTCCTAACAAATGTGTGGCCCTGGGCATATGCTTAACTACTTTGAGCCTCAGTTTCCTCCTCTATAAATAGTTGTAATGAGAATTCCTACTAGGGCAGATCCAGTGGGCACTTCGCCAGGTGGGCTTGACCCTACAAGGTAGAGTGGAGAGAGGTAGGGAGCAGAGGGCCAGAGAGAGCCAGGAAGAGAAATGGCCCATCTGGTGCTGAAGGAGTGGTCTTTTGGTGAAAAGGGAGGAGTGGGTAGGAAGCAGACATGAAGAGCTCGGGGTCAAGTCATGGTGGCTCTGACCAGAAGGGAAGGGATACTTTTTGAGCACCCACAGCACATGAAGCATTTCATATGCATCATCTCAAATAATTCTTACAGTAATCTCATAGGGGTTATTTTCTTTATTCTGCATATGGGGAAACTGAGGCTGAGAGAGGTGCAAGAACTTGTTCAGGCTCACACAGACCTCTTACTATTGCCTGGTGTTCACTCATGGTGTTTATTCATGGTCATTCATGTCAGCGGGTTAGCAGAGGGATGAACTCACAGACCCTGAGGGTTTCCAGACAGTAGGTTTTCAGGAAAATGGATTTTTCCAGAGTTAAGTCTGGAACTCAACTCTGAGTTCCAAAGTCCCTGAGTTTGGAGCCCCATAGGGAGCCACTGTGGGTTCCTGAACCTTCTTGACTCCTAGAGTCAAACGTGTTCAGGAGAAAGGCTCAGTTGGGAACACCAGATTGGGATGGGCACTCAGGATACCCGTTTCTTCAGAGCTCCTCACCCATCCCTTGGCCCTCTGTCCCTCCTGTGCCTCCTGGCCCCCCATGATGCTAGTCTCTCTCCCTCCACCTACCCAGGGAAGCTGACTGATGACGTGGCTGAGTTTGTGCACAGCTGGCAAGAGCAGGCCCCAAACCAGCCTCCAGGGCCCATGACTTCCTCCCTGCCCCGCCCCCCCTGCCTTCAGCAGAGCCCGATCAGCATGCAGGTCTGCACCCTGGGGGGAGCCCGACCCCCACCCCAGAGCCTGGCTTTGGCAGGTTTCCCATCCAACTCTTGGAGAGCCATTGGCTGCAGGGCTCCGGGGTGGCTGGTGCCCACGGCCCCTTCCCTCTCCTCCCCATCCTCGTCTCCCTCTTCCTCCGGCTCAAGCTGGGGTTCTGTACGGGGCCATGCCTGGCCCTGCCAGGCCCCAGACCCAGCTCCTGGTCCTGCCCCAGGGTGTGTATGAGAGGTGTGAAGCGCTGCTGCGGCCCCCCTTTGATGCCTGCCACGCCTACGTCAGCCCTCTCCCCTTCACAGCCAGCTGCACCAGCGACCTCTGCCAGTGAGTGGGGTGGCGTGGGCTGTGGGGAATCCTCGCAGTATCGGGGTGAGCGCTCGGCATGTAGACCACTGAACCTGATAATCACAGGCACTGGGAGATCTGCTTCCCAAAGCTCTGGAATTCTGATCTGCCCAGGTGGGACAGCACTTCCCATTCAACTGAGGTCCAGAAGTGGGGCCTGAGTCTTTCAGGGCTGCACAAGTCAGTGGCTGTGTTGGGACTCCTGAATTGAGTCTAGGAGGCTGTGGACCTAGGTGCTTCCCCAGATTCCCTTTCCTAGCTGGGTGGAGAAGACGGGTGCCCTGATGTTCTGGGCAGTCTCTACGGGGTGCTTGGGGGCTGGAGGCAGGTTGAGTTTTGTTCCAAAGTGCCCCTCGGTTTCTCTGTACAGATCAATGGGTGATGAAGCCACTTGGTGCCGGGCGTTGGCAGAGTATGCCCGGGCGTGTGCCCAGGCGGGGCGGCCCCTGCAGGACTGGCGAACCCAGCTCCGGCAGTGCAGTAGGTGCAGCCCCATGGGGGGCAGGCCCGGGGCTGTGGGTGGCATCCTCAGGCCTCAGTGTCTTGTCAGAACTTGAAGCCCTGAGGGTTCATCCCCAAGGGATAGACAGAAAAGCTGAGGCTCAGAGTGGGCGCAACTGGCCTGAGGTTGCAGAGTGAGATGACAGTGGTTCTCAGAGCCTCCTGGGTCCTCGCCAATTTCCCGGACATCGAGTGCTCCCTCTGAGACTAGGGGATGGGGGAAAACCAAAGCCCACCCTCCCACGCCCACATCTAGGGCCTAGGGTAGGAGTTGGGTCCTGGTGGAGCCAGGACCCGCAGCTGACAGAGCGTGGGCTCCCTCCCTCCAAGCCGTGCACTGCAAGGAGAAAGGCTTCACCTACAATGAGTGCATCGCCTGCTGCCCTGCCTCCTGCCAACCCCGCGCGACTTGCGTGGACAGCGAGATCGCCTGTGTGGACGGCTGCTACTGCCCCAACGGTAAGCTGGGGGCGGGAGTGGGTGCCTAAGCATCTTCCTGGCACAGGGGGGTATGAAGCAGGGTGTCTGCAGATGCCTGTTTGTGGAATGAAAGAAGGAAGGAACAAGCAGCTAACAAAGGAGTAAATGAATGAATGGCTGAAGGGAAGTGAAGCGGGGGATGGAACTGTGGCCTCCTGCGAGGGTGTTTGATTTCAAGACTGAGGACAAGTCATTCATTTATATATACACAAGCATTTGTTGAAGCATTCATCCACGTAGACTAGTTTATCCTGTTTCTCACAGTGTATAAATTTCCAGCACATCTATAGCATGCAACTCACTTGGCTAGGTGAGCAGTTGAGATAAAAAATAATAATAATAAAGATGCAAGCATTGACTTTTGGGATCCAAATCTGGTTTCAGGGATAAGACACACATGATTGCAGTCTAAGGTATGATCTGGTGAAGGCCAGTGCATAGGTTCAAACAAGAAAAATACAGGAATTCGCTGGGAGGCAGAGGTTGTTGGGGAAGTCTTCCTGGAGGAGGTGGCACCTGGTACCTAAGCTGCTTCTAGACGTTGTGGCATGTTTCTGAGAGATGGTGAGAAGGTAGTTCGTGTGCAGGTTGGGAGTTGAGGGTGGGTGGCAGACAGTCCTTTGAGCAATCTGGAGGTGGGATTTATTTCATCAGAAGGTGTCTACATTGGCTGGAGCCAGCGGTCTGCAGAGAGAGTTGGGAAGTGGACTCAGAGATGAAAGAACTGTGAGCTTTACCTCAGTCTCTGGGGAGTCATGGATGGTTCATGAATGGGGCAGAGATGAGTTAGGACCTTTGCTGTCTCCTAGGACTGATCTTCGAGGATGGGGGCTGCGTGGCACCGGCTGAGTGTCCCTGTGAGTTCCACGGGACCCTGCACCCACCTGGCTCTGTGGTGAAAGAAGACTGCAATGCCTGGTCTGTGCCCACTGCTGGGCGGCAGGAGGGAGGGGTATGGTGGCTGCCAGGGGTTTCCCTCAGGGTTATCTATTGAGGGCTGAGAGCCCTGATGATGTAGGGACACTCTCTCAGCACCTTTGAGTCCCAGGAGATGTCCTTAGATCCAATCCACGGGAGGAATCTCCATCATCCCTTTCAGAGATGGGAAGACTGAGGGCTGGGACAGGAGCTCTGTGGTCCTTGCAACCTCCCAGCATCAAACCCAGGCCTGGGGGGTGGGGGTGGATGATCCCTTGCCTCCTTGGTCTCTATGTTTCAGCACATGCACTGCGGGCAAGTGGGTGTGCAGCACGGCTGTCTGCCCAGGTACGTCTGACCCCACCTGGACTCGGCCCCTTTCCATTGGTCTCACAGGTTTGGGTAGGGCTGCTCTTGGGGGCTGGGCCTGCAGGGGGTCACCGAGTTCTATGAGCTGAGCCTGCCCCCTCATTTCCTCAGAGTTACTTTGCCTGATTACAGGATTGCTCCAGCCCCTGCCAGGGTTTTACATGGGGGCCTGTATATTAAGGACCTTCCTCAGCTTGGGGACCTTCGACCGAGACTGAGAGGAAGAGGGAGAGGGAGAGGGAGAGGGAAGAGAGAGGGAGAGAGGGCTTGTCTCTTCAGATAGGTCTCTGGAGGCAGGCCAAGAAACAGCCAGACCTGATAGCCTACACTGCTCTGATTCCTGAGGACAGGCTGCTGTGTCCTCCTCATGCTGGGAGACTGCAGGGCAAAGTCCTTGGAGGCAGCTCCCATGGTTCAGCGGCCTTTCTCTGCCCCTCAGCTGAGTGCTCAGTGACTGGGGACATCCACTTCACGACCTTTGATGGCCGCCGGTACACGTTCCCCGCCACATGTCAGTACATCCTGGCCAAGAGCCGCTCCTCTGGCACCTTCACAGTGACACTGCAGAATGCCCCTTGTGGCCTGGTAAGAGCTGGGGAGCCCCAGGTCCAATCCACCCAGCTACCCCTGCCCCCTGTTCCCTAGAGACTGGGATTTAGGGCAGGACCCAAGCCTCCCATGGCCCCCGCCGGCCACCTCTTCTCTCTGGGCAGAGCTAGGCGGCAGGAGGTGGGGTCCTGGCCTGACACCTCTGCTGGCTGAGAGTTACTTTCTTTTCCTGGGCCTCAGTATTTTTTTTTTTAAAGCTCTAAAATGGGTAATTCAACGTCATCTTCTCTGCTTCATTGGATTGTACCTTCAACATCCCTCCCTCCCTCAGAAAAGCTCCCACAGTGGGAGGGAACCCGAAGGCGTTGCCCTTTCTTGTAGTATTACAATAGTTCTGCTTATGAGTGAGAACATGTGATAGTTGGTTCTTTGTTTCTGTGATGGATCACTCAGTATTATAGACTCTAAGTCCATCCAAGTTACTGAGAAGTTCATAATTTTGTCCTTCTTTATGGCTGCATAATGTTCCATCATGTATATATATACCACATTTTTAAAAATTCAGCCCTCTTTTGATAGGCAGCACGGTTGGTTCCATGTTTTTGCTATTGTGACTAATGCTGCAATAAACATGTGTGTGCAGGTATCTTTTTAGTAGAGTGATTTGAGTTCCTCCAGGTATATTCCCAATAGGAGGATTGTGCGGTTGTATGGGAGGTTGATTTTTAGATCTTTTAGGAATCACCACACTGTTTTCCACAGAGGTTGTACTAGTTTACCCTCCCACCAACAGTGCAGAAGTGTTCCCTTTTCGCCGCATCCTCTCCAGCATCTGCTGTTTATTGAGTTGTTGATGATGGCCCTCCTGACTGGAGTTAAGTGGTATTTCAGTGTGGTTCTAACTTGAATTTCTTTGATGACTAGTGAGGCTGAGCATTTTTTCATGCATCTATCTGCTGCTCATATGTCTTCTTTTGAGAAGTGTCTATTCATATCTTTTGCCTACCTTGTGATGGGACTGTTTTGTTTTGTTTGGCACATTTGTGTTGTTGTGCTATCCAGACACTGGGCAGCAGGGGTATAAAGTAGATCAGGAAAGGCTTCCTGGAGGAGGGGACCCCTGAGCTGTGTCAGTCACCTGTGAACATAACTGAGAAAATGGCCCACTTGCAGGCCTAGGGTAGGAATCTCTCAGCGGTGACTCCACTGTCCCTGGGCTGATCGTGTAAGCCCTGGTTTGGGCTGTGCCAAGCTCTTCCCTGTTCAGGAGAGCAGAACCTCACAGCCACAACCCAGGCAGCTGTCCCCACCCTGCCTCTCCGCTGACCTTACTCTAGCCCCAGCATCGAGGGCCCTGAGTGTAAGCAGACCTAGCTAAATGTGTCCCTCCCTTCCCTGGGAACACAGGCTGAACTGTGGATGAGGTGGAGGACTGGGCTTGCTTCTTCTTTTGGCCTCTGATCCCTTCCCTTCTTTCTGCCAGAGAATGGCCTGGCCCTGCCCTTGGCTACACTTTAGGTCAGGACACTGCTTGTCCTCAAAAGTGGGGTCTCTCCTATCACATCCTGAGGTGCAAAGAGAGAGAGGACAGACAGCCCAGCTGGGTTTCTTCCCACTCACGGAATTCTAGAGTCTTGGAAGACCCAAGGCTGTGAGGCCTTGTAGGGGTGGGGGAGCCCTTACCTGCCCCTCCCCCACCATGTCCCTGGTAATCGGCCCACCAGCCTCGGCCTGAGGCAACTGTCTTGACAGCGGGTTCTTTTTTTTACCATGGCCTGCTCTCACCCTTGTGACTCCATACACAAGACGGGCCCATGGAGGGCCAGCCCTGTGCCAGCTCTGTGCTGGGCACAGCAAGGATTCTCAGAGAAGCCAGACCCTGATCCCACCTCCACACCTCCAGAAGTCCACGGCCTGTAGGGAGATCAGCATATCCTTAGGCCGCGTCAGTACACACTACAACCTGATTGGTGCTGTCACAGGAGAGTCCTGTAGATGAAGAAATAGTCCTATAGGTCAGAGGGTCAGGGAAAACCTCTTGACAGAGGTGACATTTGAGCCAAGTGACCTAAAAAGTAGGCCTAAAAAGACAAAATAAGGTATGTGTGTGTAAGTAGGGGGAGGAAGGGCATTCAAGAGTTGATTAGATTATGTGAGAAGAGCAGTGAGGGTGGAACACTCTAGAATGCCTTAAAGCAGACAAAAAAAGACTTGGCAACTGACTGACTGCCTGGTAAAGTATGGGGGCTGGTTGTGTTGACCAGCATGGAGTGAGAACATTAACAGAGAATATGAGACGGTGATAAAATATTTGCACGGTGCCTTGAACTCCAACTTCTGCATACATCTAAAATTTAGGACTCAACATACCCATGTGGCAGTTGCTATTATTCTCCCCATGTGAAATATGTTGATACAGGCCAACGGAGGTGTGGGGCAGTTCTGACACCCCACAGCCAGTAAGAGGCGGAGCTGCGCCCAATCCAGTGTTGGATGTTGTTATAGCATCTTAATACACCCACCCCAGAATCTGAGTTGTGTTTACAGTCTTCACAGTGTTTTTAAAGTAGATTTTATTTTTTAGAATGGCTTTAGTTTTGCAGAAATATTGCAAAGATACTACAGAGTTCCCATATATCCCATACCCGTCTTCCCTTAACAGCTTATATTAGTTTAGTATATTTGTTACAAACAGTGAACCAACATTGATATGTGATCACTAGTTAAAGTCCACACCTTATTCAGATTCTCTACAGTTTTTACCTAGTGTCCTTTTTCTGTCCCAGGATCCCACCTAGGATACCACATTACATATAGTCATCATGTCTCTTAGGCTCTTCTCGACTGTGACAGTTTCTCAGTTTTCCTTGTTTATGATACCCTTGAGAGCGTGAGGAGTACTGGCCAGGTGTTTTGTAGAATGCCCTCTGTTGGAATTTGACTGAGGTTTTTTCTCATGGTTAGACTGGGGTTATAGGTTTTGGGGAGGAAGCTCACCAGGGAAAGTGCCATTTTCATCATGTCTTATCAAAGGCACACACTGTCAACGTGGTTCATCCCTGTTGATGTTGACCTTGATCATCTGACTGAGGTAGTGTCTGTCAGGTTTCTTCACTGTAAAGTTGCCCTTGTTTCCCCCCTTCCCATACTGTTCTTTTTTGGAAGTCGCCATGCACAGCCCACATGTACAGAGTGGGTTATGCTCCCCACCCTGAAGGCAGATAATCTATAGAAATTACTTGGACATTTCCTGCATGGGAGATTTGTCTCTGTTCTCCCATTGATTTATTCAATCACTTATTTATATCAGCATAGACTCATGGATATTTATTTTATGCTTTGAGTTATAATCCATTACATCTTTATTTTGTTACTCAAATTGTTCCAGCTTTGGTCATTGGGAGATCTTTCAGTTGACTCCTATGTCCCTCTGCCATACTCTCATCACCGTGTGTGTGTGTGTGTGTGTGTGTGTGTGTGTGT